CTCGTTTGTTGCATGGAAGTTTGCGGACATGCAGTTAAGCAATTCCTGGTGCAGAAGAATCAATTCTTGCTTTCTCTTGGGATTATCTGGGTAGAGGAGGTCACTCAAAGCCATTCTTCAAAAATAGGCTACTTCAAGAGAGAAAAGAAATCTCTTACTTTGTTCAACACCTGTAACCATAGCCCTTAAAGAGCAGTGAAATGTCCTTTTTCTCTGCCTCACTGGTTCTTTCTATACTCAGCAGGTCAAATCCCAAGGCATAGCTTGTAAATCTAGAAATCTCAATTCTTGGTTTGGATCTTTAGCCAAATGATTGGAAAAGGACCTTACAAGACATTGAGGATACTCAGAGCAACAAATACAGCTAACAAATATGTAACTATCAGATTGATAAAATTAACATGGATCATTCTTCACCTAGGAAACTGAAGATGGTAGAAGCTGAACTAGTTCACTAAAAATATGGAACAATCTCACGTAATCAGCAAAATCTAAAATAAGCTGTGGAAATGAAAGGCCTTTTCTAGGCACAGTTTTGTATCAGCCTATTTTGTTCAGCTTAGTGGCATCTGATTTTTCAGCAACTATGTTTATGCGAGGAGTGGACAGTTTGTATCACCATCAGGGTGTTTTATGCCAGTGTAGCTTTTTTCTTCTCACATTCCAGAGTAAATGTTGCTATATAAGTCTATGTGCTTATATTAATAAACTTACCCTTGGGAATTCATAGAGAACTGTAAAATTATCTATAATGAACCTATCCTAGCCTATGTCACCTTACACACATCTCCCAGTGTATTTCCATCCCTGATATCTAGCCCTTGTTCCCTCATTGTTTATTCACCTCCTTAATGCTGCAATCAATTCCCCATAGTCTTTTCACTCACAAATGTCAAACCATTGCAGACAGCCCATGATGTTCAGTATGCTGTGTAAGCTCCATGAGGTGCACCTATGCCATCAGGCTGTCTGTGACAGCAGAGTGCCTTGGAGTAGGATGCACCAGCTTGCAGGGAGAGTCCCACTTGAGGAGCCCCACTCCCTCCATACCCAGGGTGTCCCGTGTGGAGCCAGTGTCTGCACTGAGCTCCTAGGACATGACTGAGCAGAATCTGGCCCTCCCTTATCACTGTACAGACCAGAGCACAAAATATAACTCCCCTCAAACCCTTGTGAGGTTTTAATCCTTATGGTCACCATTCTTCTCTGAACTGTTGCTAATTTGCCAGCAGAAGAGCATATTGAATACCTTTTTCTTCATAACCTGCATGCCAACAGAGTCCAAAGTGACCAGTTACCAGTGATCATGGAGCTGCTCCTTAACACTAAGGTTCCCTCATCAACACAGTGCCACTCCCCTTTAACCCATTACCAGCTGCAAAGTAAAACTGCTTTAGTATGATTTTGACTTAAATGCAAAAGTCTTACTTTACAACAGGGACAAACTATGAATGAGTAGGATGACTCATTTCTTTGTCGGTACTTTTGTGTTCTCAGCTTTCTTATTGCAAATCTGGGCCACTTTTATGCAGTGCTTTGCATTTTTCCAAGATAAACCTCTTCTTGCCGCTGGTGCCTACATATCACAGTTAAAGCTACAAATAGTTATGTGTAGGGGGCTAACTAGATTTTTCTTCTTGAAAGGATACCTTTCTGCCATTTTGGTCCTTTGTAGTTCTTGCACTATCTGCTAACTGTAAATCACCTGACACTGACCCAGCTGTATTTTACTAAACACACCCTCCCCCACTAGGTCACTGTAGAAAACCAGAACGATTTCAACAGTCCTCTGCCAACGTTTAGTCCCAGTGTTGAAACACAAACCAGCCTGAAGATAATTTTTTCCACAATATTTTGTACAATACCACACACTTCTTTGAGCCACTTACCTTGCAGTTCTGTCAAGAGAATACACTCTTTAACACATCTTTTTCTTCAAGCTGTAGGAAGCAAAGTACATATACAGTAAAGGTCTGTGATTTTCAGGAAATATAAAGCCATATCAATGCAAGGTGTGCTTTCATATCATTCCTGCCTCAGGGATGTCACTCTGACTCAGTGTGATATTAGAACCTTTCTATTCCAGTGGTGTTTTGCTGTAAGGTCATTTGTTTTCCTCTATTTTTCAAAATGTTTTAGTAGGAATAGCACTTCAACAAACATTTTATGTACTAGTCAGGTGTGGAGGAGACTTTTAGTGTCTCTTCTTTATGTATGATTATTTCGACTTCTTATAACTGCCCCAGATTTTATGTATCTTAATGCTAAAATTACTTCTTACTCTTCACATTATCACTTCTGCTGGTTTTTACATTTTCTTTCTGTATTTCTGACTATTTGTCTAGCTCCAGGGAGATTTTCTCCAGAAACTTTTCTAGTTAAACATTTAGACTGCCTACCTGATTTTGTCTGAGTGCTCCTGCAATCGGCTGAAATGTGTATGGGACAGTGACTTCAGCCTCTTTCCCCTGTGTTCATCTGGTGTTTTCCAGCAGCATGTGATGAGTTAGGGATCTGTAGGCTGGGCTTCAGCTGCATCCTGTAGCCTGCCTGCTTGTCATTCATTCTATTGTGTGATGTTTACCCAGATTCATTTAATTTCCTTCCTCCTTTCCCCTTCCTTCCAATTTAACCAGTATTCAGTTTATTTAATGCTAGTCCTCAATTGTTAGATCCTCCAAAGGCCTTCTGTTCCTGAAGAGAATGGGTACAGCACAAATCCCTCCTGCCTGCAACAAGAAGGACCATCACAGGTACATTTCAGCCATGGCTGAAAGGGGATGATATTACTTGCTGTTCTCAGAACATAAAATGTGTAGGACAGGACTTTTCATTCAAATAGAGATAGGGTTAAATTTTTTTCTGGGATTTAAATTTCTATTGTTTATAGACATAAACATTAATGCTTGCAGCTGTTCCTTGAAATAATGAATTTTTGCAATGGCTGGTTTGGTACACATGTGAATTATGGAAGAAAAGTTGAGGACAAGAAAGTGTCCCTCTGAGTATCAGAACTTCTTATGGACTATGCTGATATTGTGGAAATTCTGCAAAAACATGAGACATCAAGTACCACAGAAGGCAGCTCCTCCCTGAGCAAAACATCACAACAACTCAGACTTGGCTCTTTACCCTCCTCTTCATTTTGTGTTTTGCTACAGCCTATCCTTCAAGATTACAGATCCATAAGGAAAAGCTTGAAAATAGCAGCTGTCTACTTAGAGGGAGCTTTCAGGGTGATGAAGCCACCTTGTGAAGGTTCCAAACCTTTGTTAAAATGGTTTGGATCTGCATCCTGACAATAACAATTAAGCAGAAATAAATGTGCTGGTATGTCAGAAAACTGTCTTGATTCTTGTAATTCTTACACAGAAAAGAGTTTAGGCATGTTTGAACACACAAGAGGTATCTGCAGCTGCTGCTTCTAAAATTTTCACTCTTTTTTTAAATCTAGGCTTAATATCTTTGAGAATTTATGGGTCACAATCAACTTCTGACAACTTATTATTTGAAGTCACTGGGAAATCAAGAGCAACAAGAAAATAACATGAAATATGGATAGAAAACAAGATAATAGGAAAATGGTTCTGTATTAAATCTGGTTTAGATGTCTGGGTGAGCATGTCAGGGGATTTCAGGCACAGTAGTTCAGTTTCACAAATGTTGCTAGGTTTTAGGTTATTAGATGATGTCCTCTGTGTAGCAGGATGCTCTGCCTTGGAATGGGATAAAACAACTTGATAAATGCCCTGTTTGCAAAACGATCAGTGGTAAATGGAGAAGGAGGCATCATGCTGGTTTTGGTGTTGGAGTGATACTGAAACCAGTCTGATTCATCAACCCCAAAGTTAAACATCCTGAGGGTGAGATGAAGATATGGCAAAACTGGTAAAGGAACAAACAAATGGTACTACTGATAACTTACCCAAAGCTGAAACAGCAGGCCTGGAGACATCTGACTGACAGTCTATCATTTTACTACTATAAAAGCCCAGTCCCAAATTTTAAGGGTAGAGTCTTCTAACATACCTCTTCTTGGAGAGTATGTGTGAAGATTCCGCCCTTGATTGGGGATGCCCCTCAAGGTTACTCCTTGAGGCTGAGTGAAAGAGATTTGCCCACAGTCCTTGGTATGAGTGAGTAACATCAATCTCTACTTAATAATTGGTTTTGCTAGCTTTAATACAGTTGCTTTAACTTTGCTTCAATATTGCTTTATAGTGCACTATATTACAATAGTATATAGGCAGGTAAATAAATTTCAGTCACATCCAATACCCATGAAGACAGCAGTAGGGGTCCACAGATTCTCCTTCATTTCAGCATAAAATGAGCAGCATGTATTTATTAGCCACCAGAGAATACAGCATCTGCTTCATTTATTCAAAAGGAATGTTAAAATCGAACAAGCTGAAGACAGGCCTGACAAGTCTTGTGATCCTCTGCTGCTAAGTTCATGTCTCAAGGCAGCTTCATGCTTCTGTTCCCCATGTGTGAAATGCAGACAGTCAGCCTGAGATGAGGGTTTTGGTATTGGTGCATAGAGTCATGCAGCTGGGAAAAACCACTATGCTGCAGCCACAGACTCTACTGTCCCCTGGGGCCCAGCACTCAAAGGCTGCAGAGTTACCCACTTGGCTTTACCACCATGGTGCCTTTCACATCCCACAGACAGACTCTTTCTCACTAAAAATAAAGGTACTAAGAGATGTATGAAGAGTCCAAAGTCCTGTGTGTCTTTCCTGAATGCCTAAGGGAAAAGCTACCTATAGTGAAGGGCCTTTAGAAAGGCCACAGATAACTTCTCTCCTACCTGAATGGGTCCAAGGAATGTCTGTTTTGATGAACCAGACTGATTGTTGCAGTCTCACCTGGAGAGCTGCGGCTGAAAGCAAAAGGAGGGTTGCACCTTCTGCAACAACAGGAACTCCAGAGACTGGATCCTTGTGAATTCTTCTTGCCTGCTATTCATGGGTATATATCCAGATGCAGGCAGAGAATCAGCAACTGTGGGCCAAGTACATGGAAACCCCAATCACACTAAGAAGAATGGTAGAGTCAAGGGCAGTGGAACCACTGTTCCTGCTTCTTGAAGCTGAAAAAAAAGAAGAAATGAGACCATTCATTTAGACTTCTTTTGGCTGCCTAAAGCTTTTTGCATTTTCTAACAGAACCTTTGCACAGAAAAGCCATTGTTTCAAATCTATCAGCTACTTTGGCTTGGATCGAGGCATAAACTCTAATTCCTGAACAATTGTTTCAAGCTCAAAGATTGCATTGACACACTGTTGTCCAAAGAGACAAAAGCAAGAGTTCTGGACTGGTGGTGGGCTAACAGAAAGACAGGGATGTGGAACAGGCCCAGTGAGGTCTTCCAGCACACAGTTATCTCTATAGTCAGGAAACTCTGTGTGTTCTTTGCCAAAGGATACTCTTTCTCCCTTCTGTCTCGAGAGAAAGATCACTGCTTAAGCAACAATAGTTTTTAGTTTTGTTTACACTTAGCTTGCCAGAGATAAGTGTAGTAGTAGTAGTAGCAGCTTGCCAGAGTAGTAGTGGACCAAAGACTAGAATAGTCCTGAGGCCTGAAGTGTAGCAGCCTTGCAAGCCACAGCACAAATATCTGCGTTCAACCTGCTGGCAAATCTCACCTACCCTTGCAAGAAGAACAGTGGGAGCCCAAATGTATGAGTCCTATAACATTTTTGCAAAGGCATATGGGATAAATGGATGCTGCAAGGAACCTTGACACCTGCTGTGTGTCAGGTAGATTAATTTTTAGTGAGTTGTGGGCTTCTCCCAGGTTTTGCAATGAACAGGTAAGGTCATGTGGCTTTTTGCCATGTGGCTCTTATGGGCAAACACAGTGGGCAAGCTGCAGATTTGGCCTTGAATGTGACCCTGTGTAGGTGCAGCTGGTGAGAACTACCTGGAGTAGTGAAGACCAGACTGTCCTGCATCCCCCTGCATGAGGGGCTGTATACAATACCTTCCACCAGCTGGCAGTGGTACTTACTGTAGTTGCCCACAGAGTGCACATGCAGCCAGTTACTCTGCAGTGTCCGAAAGAAGATTTTGACAAGAAATACCTTGTAAAGGGGAATGAGTCCTTCCTTCTCAGATATGTAATAAGAAAAGCCTTGTGTAGCTGCTCCCAGGCAAGTGGTCAGTGTGAACAAAATTTCATTCCCAAATTTCTGGGCTTCAATCTGGAGACGGGAGGTGGAAGTGAAATGGCCAAATTGCACTCTGCTGCCCACTGTGGCCTCGATACTTATGTCTTTTACACCTCTGTGCACTCGGTAGCACTTAGGTTTCCCTGTGGTTTTATTGATGCTCTGCCATTCCTTCATTATCTGGACAGCAGTTGTTAGGTAAAAGTGAAAGTATTTGAAATTGAAGTTGTGCCTGTAGTGCTCTGGAGAGCTTCCTGCTGTAGATGTAGCCAAGTTCAGCTAAGAGTGCAGGCAAGAGTTCATGGTGTAAGTCATGAGGACTATGGCATGGCTGTCATGCATCTCCCTCAGGAGACCTACGGGGCTCTTTAACAAAGCCTCCTGAACCTTCTTCCAGAGACTCAAATAGTCCTTGTTAGCAGCTATTTCCTTTTGGAAATAGTCTCCTTCCTCCAGTTCTTCTATCATCTGCTCTCTGCACCCAAGATACTGACCATCAAAGGAATGAAGAGCCATATCCATCAGAATGTGGGACACAGCCTGCAACAATAAAGCAAATGAAGATTGGCATCAGAAGTTCATTTGGTTTGTCTCAGTGAGGCCAGATGTACGTGTCACGTAAATAAACATTAAACACATAAGTAAGGATATACACAACTGGGTGCTATAAAAGGAAACAACCTCTAATATAGTCTGCCGATGAAATGACATGCTAATTATGTTTCTAGTATTTCTAATTAATAAAATCCTTGTGTAATAAGATCTAAGAAACTATGTGACTTATAGCATTGCTCTTTTTGCTTTATGAGGTTAATCAAAAACTGTAGTAAGCTGACAGTTGAATTCTACAAGCAGTCACTTTATCTCAAACATTCACCCCAGACACATAACCAAACTGATACCTTTTTAGCCTCTGAAGTTATACTTTCCCATAAACTCTACAGGGACTCAGTTTATTTCTCCATGATACTGTAATTGCTTTGAGGGAAAGCTAAAAGGCAGCCACAAAAAAATCAAGCAATATTGTCGCTGTCCTGTCCAACAACATATTGATTTTGTCACAGCCTCAGCTGAGACAGTCTGGAAAAGGAAAGGAACCATTCCATGAGATCTACTCGCAAACATACTCTAGGAAACCATCTGGCTCCAAATGAGAGGAAATTTCCAACCAAGTAGTTAAAAGGAATTAAGGCAGGTAAGAAATGGAACAGAGGAACTGAAAGCAGAAAAATTAAAATTTAACCCAAAGCTTCTTAAAGAACCTGTTTCAAATGGGGGAAAAAATTAAAAGTTTATTTCAGTGGGATAAGAAATTTCACCATTCAAAATAAAGAACAATATTTACCCCTTTTACCAGTATTTGTGAGGAGATCAGCAACAGGAGGCTGCCCAGTGGCACCAGCTTCATTGAGTCCACCCAAGACACTGTAAGAAACATTTTATACAAGAAGAGGTCATTTCCATGTTTCTTTCCCTTTTTTCTTGAACTGGAAAATCCTGCAGTTTGTAAGTTCCTCTCAGGTTTTGGTGACTATTCTTCAACAAAAGATTATTCACCAGATTCTTACAGCAACTCAGAAGTCATTAATTGATCCAAACAGACAATTTGCTGGTACAAGTGTGCCCACAATCCATAAGGAAGGGTCTGGTTGCACCAACTCCATCTGGTGTAGGTGCCCATCATCTTGACAGTTCTTTTAATTCCAGGGTATCAGGTGTTCTTGTTCTTGCAAAAAGGAATAAAATCCTGGCTTGGGAGAAGTCTAAGGCAGTTTGCCCCTGAGGAGTGATGTGTCAAGATGAGTACTCCCTGCTCAAGAGCCTTTTAAATAAGTTGGCTCTGGTAACACCAACACAGAAATGCAGGATAGGTTGGGATTCCTTGGGATTCCATCTGTCCTCCTTCTCCTCCTTATCACCTCGTGGTTTCTAATCATGTGCTGCCAATCCCACCCTTACACCACTGCGGAGTGGCACCTTGTTGGACTGTTTACATTGGATGCGTGCAAAATGACTGTGTAAATGCAGATTCTGTACTGGGACAAACCCCTCTCTAGCAGCTGCTTTCCAGACACCCCTCCAAATAACAGCAGTGAGTTACTCATCTGCAAAGCCCCATGGCCTCTGATAACTCATTTGCATGGGAAAAGAGACGAGATGCTGCTGACAATGTCTGCAGCCACTGGTGACCTGGGAAGTTGGCATGAAGGATGATACAAAGTGATAGATGCAGCCTACCTACATCTCCTTCTTCGAACTTCTCTATTATATTCAACAGTATTTCAGAAAGTGGTTGTTTGATTGCTGAAAATTAGTTCACACGAGGACTTACGAATTTATTCAGGGGCATCTCTGCTTTTATTTGTGTGGACATAAACCAGACCTGAACTGAAACAGGCCCCTTTGGGAGATTGACAATCAGGATAAACAGCCCTGCTAAAATCTCAGTTTGGCTGCATAGAATCCAGTTGCAGATTATGTCCCTGGTTTTCCATTCTAACCTCTTAGTGCATGTTCAGTGTGAAGGGAATCAGGAAGAAAGCCCACTGAGTTTGCATTTTCAAATGCTTCAAAAGCAAGGTAGTGTATTATCAAATACAATAAATACAATTGCCATACGGTGGCAGCAGAGGATTTGTAGCAGTTATTAGAGCTGCATTATCCGAGCGAAAATCAAATTCCTCCATTTCAGACAGTAAACTTGTAACATGATCAGATCCCCAAAGGTCTTAATGACTTCAGCCCATGTAGAGATCTGGTGACACAGGACAGACAACATGATGGAGACCTCCAGGTGCAATTTGCCTGAAAAAAAAAGATGTACTGGAAGGGAGTTTTGCTGTGAGCAGTGAAGCTCCATCAGTTTGTGCCAATAGAGGAACCAGTCACAGGTGTTTGACCAAGACATGAGATATTTATGAACTGTCATCTCCTTGGCCAAGATCAGCATAGCTGGTACAAACCATATCAGCTTGCCAAACAAGAGATGTCCACGCTGACATTGGCAGGCATCTATGGACTTGTCCTGTGCCCTTACTTCAGGCCAAGGTCTTTCAGAAAAATGCTGAACTAGGTAGATGGTCAATGGGGAAAATCCTGGCCATCCTCTCCCTTTGTGTCACAGAGAGCTGCAATTATGACCTGAATTTTGATGTGGTCACTTCTGATTCACACTGGGGTGCAGGACGGGAGAAGGAAGCCTCATGCACTGGGTTCCTGCTTCCCACAGTTCACAAGAGCAGGCTGTATTTTCCAGGCCTCTCTTTAACCACAGGTAAAGGTTGTAACAGACAAACAGAGAAAAGCAGCACCCCAATCCATCTTTACATAAGTGGTATTTATTGCAATTAGCATTTGAGGATGGTTGCACCAGCTTACATGTAACCAGAGAAATTTATTCTCTGTCAGTCACCTCCTGTCCTTGGCAGTGTGATCTGCCTCTCAGGGAAGGAAAGCAGGCAGAGCATATTAAGAGAGGCTGTGCAGAAAGTTGCTAAGGTATTATATTAACACCAGAGGACAGAATGGAGTAGTGCAGAGAGAAGACAATATGTATATAAACACACACACATTTTATATCTATTTTAGCTACAAGCTGTCTTGAATAAACTAAACACCAACCCAACTTCAATCTGAACTGATTTTATTTTTGTTTATTTAATAATGTTTATTGCTTTCTTTTTCCTTCTTTTTTTTTTTCTTTTAGCAGTTTAGACACTTTTAGTTACAAGCATAAATGCCAAAGCATCAGAGAGGAACAATTTTTTTGGTTGTTCTGCTTGGGTATATTCAGTTTCACCAGAAAGTACTTGTAACAAAAACAAAAAGAGATTTCCAAATTACTTTTTACAGGCAGTCACTAAATGCAGATTACAAAAAGGAAGGACTCATCTAAAAGGACTCCTTAGACATGCCTGTCGGGAATTATCTGTTGTTGCTATACAGGCAAATTTTGTGACAGAATAATTAAAAGAGTGTAGCAGAACCTGATTTATGGCTAAGCAATACTATTTCTACACTTATATCTTTACAAAATGGTCCTACTATGATGCATATTTAGTGTAATTATACTACACCAAAATACTGAACTTTGCTAGTCCTCCTAACCAGGAGCCAGCTGGTTTTACTTCTTCCCAGCAAGCATCTCAGGATCAGATCCATCACATTTACACACATTATGACATTATTTTCCTAGAATCCTACCGCATTTTGCAGAAGAGGATGAGAGATCTAGTTGTGTTTCTAAGGCATGCAATGATTTTCTTGAGACCAACCACCATTTTTTCACCTATTGTGTCCTAGGGATTCAGATGGAAGGAGGTAAGACAGCATCTTCTGGTGAAGCTCATAATGCCACAGAAGATGACAGAAGAGAGATCTTTTTGATGCCAGGAAGAAAGCTAATGCAAGTTCAACAAGTGGGATAATTATTCCCTTGATGTTCCAGTTGGCTAGGGAGAAAATGAAGAAAGATGCCAGTCTAGATGTTTTCCTTCCCTCCTTCCCACGCACAACTTCTTTCTGCTGAGGCGTTCAGAGTGTGCCAAGCCAAATGACCTTCCCATCCTTAGTATCTCCCAAAAAAACGGTTGTAGGCCAAGGAAAATCCTATTTGGTCAGAGAGATAGTCACAGGGGGGATAGTTTTCACAGCGCTCGTGCATCTGCTCCATTGGGCTTTTATAATACTCAAAGTACCTGGGGTAGACAAAGACAGAAATGCCATTCTGCAGATTGAATCGATGCAGTTGGAGAGGGTTCACACCCCTGACACTGACACAGTCATAGAATCATAGAATTTTAGGAGTTGGAATGGATCTTACAGATCATCTAGTCCCAGCCCACCCTGCCATGGGCAGGGACACCTCCTCACTAGACCATGTGAACGCAAAACAAATGATTCCCCAGGGTTCCCCAACAGGACACTGTTCATGCTGAGTTAAACATCTTCTTACATGGGGTTAGACTACTTGATCAATGCTGGGAAGAAATGGGTTTGAACCCAATTTAAAGCAACTGCTTTTGTGGTTTTATCAGCAAAGGAGACCACAGAAACAGTTATTGTTTGCATTTTTTTTGTCTTCAACTCCATTCCCCAACTACCCAGGAATATTTTTGTTGTTGTTGCTGCTTTTTTTTTTAAATTATGCATTTATTTCATTGTTTCCTGCTTACCTTTGTTTCTGCCCAGTTTCTGCTCACTTTCCCACCAGATCCTATTTCCCTTTACTTTAAGCACTCTTCTCTCATTATCGTCACTTCTGTGGTAGACAGCAACAGGCTAAGCAAGCCTAAATCTTTTAGTCTCAGCTATACACTCCAGATGCCCTTCTCAGAGCCTCTTATAGGTTTGGTTAATCTTTCCTGAAGACTGTACACACCACTACAGGAGTCCACCAGTACCGCATTAATTTTTACTTTATTTCTGGATTGGAAATACCCTGTTGTATGTTGTTGAATCCATATTTCTGGACTAACCTTACCTCATGATCAAATATAAATACACCAGGATGTCTGTCTACCTCTGTCTTCCTCATTAATGCTTACAGCAGAAGCTACAAGGCACCACCTATAAGTGAGTAGTCGGTACTGACTATACAGTTGCTCCTACTGAATTTCACCTTGATTTTTAATCACCACAGGTTTCAACATCAGTCACTTTCTCTGCTACAATACTCTGATCCTCCCCTCTACAGATGAGGCCTCCCAATCTTCTGTTGTCTAAAATCAACATTATCCTTCCAGTCCAAAGATGGATTGAATAAAAATTCTTTTTGCACAGGCCTACATGAGAGACTAGCTTAACAACCTCTTCCAAGAAATATGTGAAGAACATTCTTGTGTTACCTCAGATTTCTCAAATAACTAGGATTGCTCCAAATCTTTGTGCTTAGGATTTCTGCACAAGTTGATGTATGATCTCCAGCTTCAGGAAGAATAGCAATCTGATCTAGCCTCATTCCTGCAACAGAGCTGTGCTTCCTTTGTAGGGAGCCAGAGGCAATTACCAAGGCTCTGTTCATTATCCTGGAAACTGTTTCTGATAACCCTGTAGGTTAGAGGAACTTCTACCTTGTATCCTGCTGCTCTCATGACCAGCCCGGACAGTTAGTGCTGTCTTTCTCCCTAGAAGGAATACTAGAGTCCAGATAAGAACTCTCTAAAGGATATTAATGAAATAAGAACTCTTTATCCATCACTGTCTCCTACAGCCTTTTTGCTTCAACAGAGGAAGGTAATAACATAGATGTACAACAAAATAATGCCTCGTCATGTCATATTGCCTCCCCACTCCCTCCTCAGAACAGGTCCAGCATCCAGCTCTCAGCCCAACTCCTGAGTTGTTACCGTTCATACAAGCTGGATCTCTTCTGCCTCTTCACAAAGGCATTGGCAACTTCTTTTTTAATCTTAATGCCTACCAAGAGAGAACACAGCAGGTTAGAGATGCAGGGCCATGGTCTATGAAACACAGAGACTAGTCTAACCTCTGAAAATGGAAAGTGGACTCTCTTCACAAGCTGCCTAAGATGCTCACAGCTGTCAGAAACCACCACCTTTCCCTGAACACTTTACTTTTTTTTCTCTTCCCCAGTCTGTGTTTGTATTGGCTCACTGGAAAAATACCAGCTTTCATGCTTCTCAGCAGCAATGTTGTCCTTTAAAATGTAAGAAAGGAGAGGCATGGGAGAATGAAAGGGATTTTCCATACAGATTTCTGCCAGGATCAGCTTGCTGCAAAAGCTGTGAACATCTTAGGTGTGCAAATACACATGTCCCAAGGGACCTGACAGGAGGGACTGCAGCCCACAGAAGCAGCCAAGGAAGGTCTTTTCTTTCCGGGTTCCCATTTTGTGGGATTTGGCAAAGATGTCACAGCCTATTGCCATGGGCAGGTTGTGCTTTCTTAACAGTCTAGGGGTGCAGCAGTCACTTTGAATAGGTTTCTGAAGCCAGCTCAGAGTAGACAGACAGGCCATGTTGCTCCACCAACACAATCCTGTTTCACAGAAGGAAGATGTATTTTGCTGCTAACAGCCTGCAGAACTTGCCTGGGGACTGCTCAAGGGTTGTGGAGATGCAGGCTACAGCACTAGCAGATCTGGAGCAATGCTAGGCTGTTGGTGCAGGGACAGTGACCTCCTTCGTGTCACCTCTTCCCATGGCTGTGAAAGGCAGCTCCTCTCTTTGCTGCACGTCCTCCTGCACCTCAGGGGCTGCAGCACTGAGGGAGCAAAAAGGGAGCAGCTAGAGGGACTCAGCATGGTTCATGTTCAGCCCTTGAATCTATCAAAGGGGAGAAAAGCAGAGATGAAGGAGAATGGAGCCTCATCATCATCAGTCAAAATTATATATATACTCACTGTCAGCACTGTGAGATCCTGGGGGTTCTTTAGGATCTGGAAGACAGATAGACAGACAGACAGGAGTCTGCTTATGAGCCCTCCTCTGCTGCGCTCTGTAACTGAATCCCATCACCGACTGACTGGCTTCAGCTCCCCCCACTTACCTAGAAGGTCTGTTTCACCTAAAAAGGGTTTTATTAACACCCACCATTTAGAGATAGACTTCACCACCACAGCAAAATTCATCCATTATGTCTGGATATGTTTCATTTCAACTTCCTCTGAGACAGGTTAAATGACACAATAAACGTATAACCACTGTGGAAGCTGGAAGAAGACCTTTCTCCTTCTCCCTTCCCACCCTTGCTAAGAGTAGGGACAACTAGAGCTAGAGGACCATTTGAGCAAACCCCCAAATTTGAACAGAACTTGAATCTAGCTTAGCATCTCCACTACCTTTTGAAAGAGATATTTCCTTAACCATGAGGAAAAATCACAAGCCATTGATAAAGAAGTAAAATAGGCCCAAAAATTGGCAGCAACTCTGTCCTCACAGCTTTCTGGCTCAGGGTTGAGGTACCCGTCTTGCTAGCACTCCTAAGAGCAATTTACACATGATACGTCTGTGTGCAATCCTAATCTTAATCCTTAATGTCCCCTGCAAACATCTAAGGAAAGCATCGTCTGAGAGCTCCTTAAGCTTAGCTCTCACACACTGCCGTATTTCACAGGTTTCTTCTTCCACTATTTCACCACACTTTTTTCAACAGTCTCAGTTCCACACAAGTGACCAGGAACTTGGCACAAGTGTGCTTATGGGTAGAAAGAGGACTTTAGAGATCAGAAAAGAATAAAATCCAAAAAAAAAAAAAAAAAACAAAACCAAACAAAAAAAAACAAACAAAAAAAAAAAACCCTGTGTGAAGTTCTATTTTTAAGAAATGTATGCATCACTTCGATGAAAAAAAATTTTTTTAATTAGGAGTTCTGGCATATATTAGGCAATTCTGCCAAATTAGGCATTCTGGAATATAATGATGACTGAAAAGAAAAGAAGATATATATACTCAAGAGAGGAAAAGTGAGAAACAGACTGACAGAAGGAAAGCACTGATCAAACAAAATATATTTGCCGGTATGCAATCACGACACATCAATGCCAAGGACTGAAGAAAATTTAATTCTGAATGAGTTAATACAGGAAAACACAGAGCTCTCTCCTGATCCGGTTCTCCTTTCCTGATGTAAAGGGAAAACACACATTTTTCACATCTTTCCCCTATCTCCTCTCTCTTCATCACCTATATACCTGCCACTACATTACTATCACTTCATCATGCAGACACCATTCCTAAATCACCATTCCTAAATCACCTTCAAATGTGATCGCTCATTTCAATGGGACAATTCCTTGTTTTTTAACCAGGAATAGGAAGGTATTTTTCCCTCCACAAGTCCTCCACATCCCACATTTCCCTGCAGGAGAAAGCTTGACTTGGTGCCTGTCTCTGTGATCCTACAGCACTCCAAGGCTGTCAAGGCACAAAAATCCCTCTCCCTGTAGCCCACACAAATCTGCCTGGAGCTCAGCCTTCTAACTCAAAAATGAGCGTCCAGCATAACTTTGCCAGCTCACCTAAACAATAAACCAGTTTAATTCTTATGCATATTAAAATATTCAAATTCTCTGCCGCAATTCAACATACAACTGGCTTGGGGGGTGGGGGATGGGGGGGTGGAGAGGTGTTGACCAGTGGAATAAAGCGCCCGGCAAAAGATGGGACTCTGTTCCCAAGTCTCATATGTGACTCTGTCTGTGCAACAGAGATCTGAAGTTGTGCAATGGCTGGTGATGCACCTCCTCTCCCCCAAAGCTGTGTCTCTCTCCCAGACTCAAGGGAGGTTGGCTGCAAACTGCAGGGTTGAGCAGCACTCCAACAGCTTTCCTAGGAAGATGTCCCCTTACCTTTCTCACAACAGCAGAGCACTGCCAGGGCCAAAGTCATAATCAGCAGTGCCAGCAGACTCCTCATGTCTTCTTTGGCTGTGCTAGTCTCCCTAAATTCAGAGCTTTCCTGGAGGTTACTGAAGTTCTCCGGGGCTTGCTTTTAGGCAGCAGTTTATATCCCGTGATTGCTTGGAGAGATCAGGGATCTGGCTTGTGTTTCTATGTCTGCACTCCAAAACTAAGACTGTCCTTTGGGCCAGGAGATACTGAATCCTGGCAATCATTTTGACATCCATCTCAGGACTCGGGGCATTTCCAGAAGATTTTATCTGAGGTTTTGAATGAGACTGTTGAAGAAAAACACCTGGATAAAAAAAATAATTTTTCTTATAAACTTGAAAGTCATTCAGTCATGCTGGAAAGCCAGCACACCCTGAAGTAGAGCAGTTCTTCTCATGTGATGGGTGTCTCTCATGTGAAGTCTCTCAAATAAGACTGAACCCAATGGTGACCTGTTACCCCCACCCCACCCTGATCCATTCCCCTGAAGGCAAAGAAACCCATAAAACACTTCACATAGGGCAAACACAGTAGGGTTTTAGACAGTTTCACCAAACTACTGTGGAGAGATGAGATTTTTATACTGTTAGGAACTTTGGAAGTTAGTTTGAGGGAGGGACTTTCTTTTTTCCTCCTGAAAATCTTCAGGACTTCAGTGGCTATAGTTACTTGGCACATCAAGAGCCCTGCATGGGCTCTTCTGCAGCCCATCTACCAATAACCCCATACTCCACAAACCCACCATCCAAGTTCCCAAAGCCATGTCCCACAAAGAGCATAGGGATCATAATCTTCCTTCACCTTACATCCAGTACACCTCAGCCCCATGTGCAGGGAACATGTCCAAGGGTTACAGAACTAAAGTTTAAATGGCTCCCAAGGGCATTAGAGATTTTGCCAATACTTAGAAACACTGACTTTTATCTTAGAGAAATTTCAGGATTAAAAACAAAAGAAAAAACATTTTAACATTTCTACAGTCCAGGAAAGCTGAATATATATACCAAGAACTTCTGGAAAAAGTTGTTGCATTTATATATTTCAGCAAAAGAGTAACAGTTTAAAAATAAATACCTAAAAATAATAGATATTCTAGGAAAGTTATGCTTGAGCTAAAGTAAATAAATAAATAAACAAACAAACAATTCTAGCAATCCAAACAGCTTTATTTATCCTTCTAACTTTTCCCAAGCTTTCTAACCAGCATGTTAGTCTCTCAAGCATGCTTGGTTGCTGCCTACGCTAATGAAATCCCTCAGAAACCTCTGGTATTATTCATTATTTATAGTGGTAAACTAGGGGTTGGAATTGGGAGATATTTCTGGACACAGACTCAGACAGCACTAGAGCTGTGCCTTCTGTTTTGGTAGCGTCACAGTGTCAGACTTGTTGATTTTAGGGTATGCAAGTTTGCTTTGGATGGTGATTATAAAATTCATCTGCTTGGGAATATGCAGAACAAGTGTGGATGCAAATATACCTAATCCATATGGGATTATTTTCCTTAAACTCATTTATTGGACAAAACTTCAGCAACTTTCAGGGTGGAGTTTCCTATCAGAAGTGTTTTCAATAAACATATTTCTTTCCAAAGGTTCAGTTTCAAAGCTGACAAAGCTTTGAGGCACCTTTTGGAAGAAGATGCATGTTTCCATTGTGGCAGATAGATTTGGCTCTAGACTTAATTTCACAGATTAGCCAACAATTTGATACTTTATACCTCATAGCCTTTGATGGCATGCAATGAATCTTTCCCACTTCTATAACTTATAGGTGCCTGTGTAAGCCTGGAGATGTGAAAGTTGAAACCATTTGTGCTGATCTAAAATAGATGCTATGTCTCCTACACACCACACACCAAGGAGAGTCTCAGCTGCTGTGGCTGCTGACCAGCCCAGAGCAGCATTGAATTCTTGGGCATGTCAGCACTGGTGCCTGTTGGCCTGAGGACAGGCTCTGCAAGGTGCCCTGCTGATGGTGGTGGTGACAACCCAAACGCAGTCATGCTCACTCCTCGATGATCCAGAAGGTGCACAGCAACCTGTGCACAGGGCGAAGCCACATCTTGGTTCCAAATTATTTGTGAAGAGTAAAATTAAATTGTTCCAGGTGAACAAAGTTGGGGTCCAAACACTGGGTTTCTTTTATTTGTTTATTTACCACCAGGAGGCTCTCTCCACCTTTGGGCTCTGCAGCTGCCAGACTCATTCCAAGTAGAAATGAGGGTTTGGAAAGGCAATTGCAAACGGAAATATGAGTTCAGTCTGGACCAAGCGCTCCTTTCTACAGGAGCACTTTACATCAGGATCTGAAGGTAGCTGGATAAACAAGAGGCAATCTACAGTCTTTTACTGTCACTTGCTCTCACCCTAACCTTGTTCGTAAGGTTCAGTAGGTGCCTTCTGAAATTTGTTTCCCCAACTGTGGAAAGACATTATAGATGTAATTTTCTAAAAGGGCATTTTACTCTGTCTTCTGAACACCACACTATTTTAAGATGTCTTAAGACTGGGAGCTGAAATTTGCCAGTGACCTCTGGAAGAAGCCTCTTTTAGACCCTGGAGCAAAAACATTGCAGATCCTTTGAAACCTGTATGATTGCAAGGCAGGGATTTTTTCCCATAACTTGCACCAGATTCTATGGTAAACAAACTCAGCTTCTTCATGGAAAATTGCACACCCCCTTCCAAAATAGTGTGACTCATGAGAAGATAGTATCAAACCAGCGATTTATTGTGTAGTAAACACCCACATCCTGAACTCTCTCTGATCTCTGCTACAACAGCTTGGCACTAATTAACACAGTGTAGGAATCCATGGCTACATAGGAGAGAAGCAACAGGCAGGATAACATACAAGGACACAAGCAACTGAATATGTTTCAGAGCCATTGCATTTTGGGGGAGGATACCCTGGACTCCAGGCCCCAGGGTGGGAACAGTAATCCTTTACTTAGCCCTCCTCCTTCCAAAATAGTGCTTGTAAGCAGCAGCATAGCCATGCTGAAATGCGTACAGTTCACAAGGGTAGTAGTCCTCACAGATCTCCCTCTGACGTTCCTGGGGTGCCTTATGACGCTCCCTGATCCTGTAGAAGTAGGAGAGATGGGGGATAAGTGCTGGCATCTCAAATACCTGTCTACTGCCCTTTCCTGCCCCACAACCTCCCCCCACCCAGGATTAAGGGTCCATCACTAGAGTCCATCATCCAGCTCAAAGATCTTAGCACACCAGTTTCTGTGTTT